GGCGTCAGGAATATCTTCCACAGGAGCCACTGTCTAATGTCACAATGAATTATGTAATTTCTAATACACTGAAAAAATTTATATCATAGAATTATCGTTTTAAAACTTTTCTTGTAGTGAGCAAGTCATCTTGGAATAAATACCAAGGAGGACAAAGCACCAGAGCCAGACAGAAAATATAAACCTCTATATTGTATTTTTGCCAGTAGACATTCTAACACTAATTCTAAGGATTAAAAGAAAAAAAAACTTCAAAAATCACATATTTCCCCCATAAAAATCTGTTTTACGGTACTCCAAATTATTCCAACTGGAACTCTTATGTGCCGAAAGCTTTGCTGATTACTACAAAGAAGTTGTATATCTGAGCCTTTATGAGCTTATAGTGTAAAGAAAACACTAGAGATCTAAGAATATTGTGACTCAAAAAGCCCATAATTAAAGTCAACAAAATATATGTCAAATAAATATATACTTAAAGGATGGCAGAAGTGCTTGCTGGTCAAAAGCTCTGGTTCTCAGGTCAGATAGACCTAGGTCTGAATGCTGGCTCCTACAGTAATTAGCCATTTGACCTTGAACAAGTTACTTAACCTCTCTCTGTCTCCATCTCCTAATCTGTAAAATAGGATAATACTGTTAACTCACAGGGCTGAGAGAGTAAAATGAGATAATGTATATAAAGTGTTTATTACCACATCTGGCATACATTCTCAAAAATGGTAGTTATCATTATCATCACCACATTATTATTGTCCAAGAGGTCTTATGAGATCGAACTGCTGGTGTGGTGTGGTGTGGTATGGTCTGTGTGTGAGAGAGTGAGGGAGGGGGACAGAGAGAAATGGAGGTGGAGGAAGAGTGAGAGGGAGGGAGGGAGAGAATAGGAGGAGCGGGGCAGAGAGAGATGTACTAATATACAGAGGTTATCATAATGAGCATAAGGATCCCCTGGGAAAGAAAAGAACAGAAACCTCAAACTTTTTCCAGATATTGAAAACTGAAAATTACTTAAACCAGCCAGGGAAGCCCTAACAAAGGCCCAATAGCAACAACAACAAAAAGGCAATGAAGGCTCATCAGAAGAGAAAAGGTCCACTATTCCAACTGTCCTGTCTAACCATCATAAGGACAGGTGGTACAATAAGGAAGTAACTATTAATGGAATGAGTTGGCATAGTAGAAGCCTATTGGGAACTTCCCTGCCTGGTTTCAGAAGCTATAACAGCCCCCATGGCTAAGGCTGAGTGATCGACCTTTGGACCATAAGTCACTAAGGAGACAAAGTTTGTATCTCCCTGTCAGGAGCACTGCTTCTGCTCCTTTTTTCATAACTGGCCCCCAGTGCTTGATCAGTTAGCCAATGATGGGTAAGATTCCCAAAGGGGGGAGCGACCTAAGACAGGCATGATCACATGGAGGCACCAGGGAAGGCCTTGGGGGGCTATGGAGAAAGGGGGTGATGGACCCCCACCCCTCAGCTATGACATAGCTTGAGTCCTCATTCTGTCAGCAAAAAGTCTCCTAATCTCTTGGCTGCCTTACTACCCCTACCTGACTTAAGCCTGAAACAATGCTGGTGGTGGGTACCACCCTGTGCTGGAAAGGGCAGGTTCCCTAGGGCAATCAGAGCTCAGAAAGAATGCATAAAATCCTGTGAAACCTGCTTTGTTTACAATGCTCTCAATTAAATAAGGGTCCAAGCAAGAAGTGAGTTTGTTCCTCAAAGTTTTACAGCTCTTTAGCTATCTGACCCTGACTCAAAATAGGCCCTCAGAGTTCTTTGTTATCTATTATTTGATCATAATTGCCTGAGAATGATTAATGAACTTTACCTGTATTCCTGTGCTAAAGGAACCTAATAAAAGCCCACTGAGGAAAAGGCTCTTGGTCCTGTCTTCTCCTTTGAGAGACTGGCCACCTTTCCTCCCCAAGCAGATCATGTCTTGGTAGACTTATTCTTATCTGTGGTTGCTGGGGGGGGGGGCCCTACAGGCGGAGCCCCCCCCCCACAGAAACCCAGGCCAAGTTTAAAGTACAACACTCCTGGTTTATAACGAATGCATTATTTTGCTTTTGCCTGGGGGGGGGAGTGGGTCAAGGCAGATCCTGCATATTGACTGTCATGTTTCCTTCTTTAACTTACCAGTGTCACACAGCTACTAAGTAAGAGTGCCAGGATTCAATCCCTTATTTGTCAAACCCCAGAATCTAGTATTCAAACACTAATTAATACAATAAAATGTTCTTTTTGACATCCCATGGGCAGGAAGATGAATTCATATTTGTCTTACATGTATATGGTAGTAAAACTCAAATGATATACTCTAACCTGCAAGAAGTGAGCTTATGGAAATTATTTTTAAACATTAGTCTACCAACAGTAAATGATAGAAAGCAGAATCAACATAAAACTGAATCCTAAGGACCCATGAACTAAAAAGTAGTATAGTCTCAGGCAAGTTACTCAATTTTAATCTCAATCTCAGCTCTCTCTTCTGTAAAACAGTACTTCCCTCACCTCTCAGGATAGTAGGAAGAAAATAAAGCACATGAAGTACAAACAAAATAATTAGTATTTGGTGATCCTCAATAAATGGTAGAACTCCAATCAGTCATTATTTAGTTATCATGATCATCATCAACATTACCACAATGACTTAATATTTGGATATAAATTTTGAAGAGCAATACAGCAATGCATGCTTAAATAGTAAAATTAAAAAATTAATTTCTACAGTCAACATTCTTTAGTGATATTGAAGAATGAATTAGAAAATATCTCCCTCTTTATTTCTGGTATATGGAAAAAAACTTCGCTAATTATGTCTGGTGATAGCATTTGAATTTTCTCCCTCTTAGATGTTAGTTTAACAACTCTATTTGTAGAATTCACATGCAACTTAAATTTTTACTGATATGGTTACTTAGTTGGCATGTATCATGTATTTTACATTAAAATTAAGTAATTAAGTAGTAATAAGAATAACCATTAACAATGATTCTTCCTTCCATGCCTATGAATAAACTATCTTTAGAAATCAGAAAGGAAAAGTTTACAATGTATCTGGAACCCTACTGTTGAACCTTTTTTCTAAGAAGTTAAATTCACCAAAAATCTGTTACCTCAGCTTACACCACAGTGCTCTGAAAGAGAAGCGAAGATTCTATCTATTGTTCAAAGACACAAAGAAATCAATAATATGGAAGAAATATATGTTTTATGTATACTTCACTCAAAAAGGAAATACAAAATGGGAGCATGCAAAAAAGAAAAACAGAAATGCTTAATTAAATAGAAAAAACTAGCCCTATAGCAACCGATTAAGCCTTTAAAAGTCATCTCAATTAAAAATATAAAAATTAATTCTACTTAATAACATCTTTAATCATTATTAAGAGGGCTGGCCCTGATTAAAACCCAAACTAGGCCACTCTCTTTATGAGCACATTTATGCCGCTCTCACTGAATACAGAACTCCTCATCCAAAAACAACATGGTAAAATTTAGCAAATTTAGTCGTGACTCAAAGCTCATTCTTTTTTCCACTGTCATAAATGGGAAGGCACATCAGCCACTCTGGTAAGTAATTTTAAATATATAATCCCATGTGTTCCTTACATGCACTAAGAGAAACATTATCACGACAAATTATGGTAGGCTGCAGTGTTTAATTCCAGGTAGGCCCAGCTCCAAAGCAGTAAGATTTTGGAATTCTAGCTTAAATAATTCTCTCTGAAATAACAGAAAACTGTTTCCCTGGTTTTTCCATGGTTAGACACTTTTCTAAAGCTAATAATACCAAGATAATTAAAAGTCACAAAGGTTTTAAAACCAATATAATATTAAAGCTAAAACAAGGAGTAAAAGATGGGTATCACAGTCAGTTTTCTTTATACTGGGAAAAATTCAGAGTCAATAATGAGACAATAAAAATGAACACATGATCAAGGGGGGTACTGGACAGAGGGGGGCAGAGGAAAAAAAATTGGGACAACCGTAACAGCATAATCAATGAAATATACTTAAAAAGTAAATTAATTTTTCAAAAAACCTATTACACGATTAATATAAAAGAAGAATGTGCCTGTGGTACCCCAGGCCAGACTGGTTTTTCTTGTTTTGTGTGTGTACATGTTTTGTGCCTGTCAACCGAAACAGGTGTTTCAACTACAACTCTGAAACCCAAATGAACAAGTACAGACAAGCATGTGAACAAGTGCAAAGTTCTCTTGAAATCATACTCAGGAATAGCATAGTAGATTTATAACTTTCCCTGTTCCTCGTTTTCCCATAATATAATGAGTTACCTAATCATGCACATTTATTAATATCCTATATTTCTTTAGTCTACTTACCACTTATAGAAGTCAAAGACTAGCTTTAAATTACAAGAATGTGGCTTATATATTTATATAAGAAAGACTTCCTAAAGGATTATTATTAAATAGCTTCATATTTATGGAAAAATGATTTGCAAATGTTTACACTAAGACTTTAACCAAATGGGTATAGATGAGATACATTATCACGACAAATTATGGTAGGCTGCAGTGTTTAATTCCAGGTAGGCCCAGCTCCAAAGCAGTAAGATTTTGGAATTCTAGCTTAAATAATTCTCTCTGAAATAACAGAAAACTGTTTCCATTTATGGAAAAATGATTTGCAAATGTTTACACTAAGACTTTACCCAAATGGGTATAGATGACTACTAAAATTAACATTGAAGCTTTTAAGTATTAGGATTAAATGACTTACTATGAAGCAAATCCTGAATATGAAAATCAAGTATTCTTTTACTAAGAAGGGCATATTTTGTTTTAGTCAACCATTAAAAATATTTATCATAGCTAATTCCCTCTGTGCTCAAGTGTCACAAATAAAATTACTTCAAAAATTTACTTTGGTGCTGCTTTAATCTTTACCACCCAAACAAGGCACAACTTTTCAGTAACACATGGTGTATCAGAGGATGGAAGGTAAACACCGGAGACCCTACCTTGTGCTGTTCGATGGCATCTACCCACTGTTGTCTGTGATCTGGATCCTGAGCACGAAGATACCAAACGCTGTCATTTACACTAATATCAAATCGACACTCATCAAAATCATGAGGCTATGGGGGGAAAAAAGTAGAAAATGAAAAGCAATACTAATTATATTCTTAGAAGTATCATACTCCATAGTAAAAACAAGAACATACCTGTTCTGGCTGGTGGGACACTCTTATTTTTTCTACGCAAATAACTTTTGTGAAGATGTCTTAGATAAAGAGCCCGGCAAGGGCATAGTTACCAAACACTACATTTTATTCACCATTCCTACAAATTAGCTGACATAAACTACAAACATATTTCAAAAAAAGAGAGAATATTTTTCATCAAACGCTTTTAGTTAGTCAGCTTTAACTAGTGGAAACACTACTCAAAGCACAATTTTAAAAAAAGGTCCAAAATAAGTTTTGGGAAAGACATTTACTTTTTTACAGCCTCCAATAAGGTAAATTTTCATAATGAAGACTTTGATTTCATTAAATTTTATAAACAAGATACTGTTATATTTCATCACAAAATGATGTTAGCATTTCCTCTCAAGTATCTCAAATTAACTTCTAGGCTTTTATATCTTTGAAAGTAATAGCGAGAAGAGTTTTCAATAAAAAGCAGAGATAAAATGAACATTACATCAGACCTATGTAGGATAGTTTGAGGAAACTGCTTGTATCACAATGTAAAAATTTAGTGAAAATGTCAATTATTTGGTTCAGTGTTTTACATTCTTCATAAGAATATATAAAATTAAAATTTTATATCCTTGTTTTTGTGCCCAATGAATTAAAATATGACAGGATCACATCAGGTGCCAAGTCTTCATCCATCAGATAGAGAGTACAGCAAGTCCTCAATGTAACGAGACTTATTTGCTGAAGAGAAGCTACACATTGTACTTCCAGAGTTTATTGTTTATTCTCTCCCCATTTAACAGCATCATCTTTTATCTATCAGTTTATTTAGCAAAAATAATATAACTCCACAGTGTTCTTCAGCCTATGAAACAATTTCTTTTAAAATTAACACAACAGCCCTAATGGGTGTGGCTCAGTTGGCTGGGTGTCATCCTGCAAGGCAAAAGGTTGCTGGTTTGATTTCCGGTTGGGACACATGACTGGATTGCAGATTTGGTCCCTGATCGAGGCGACTAAGAGAAGCAACTGATCGACTGATGTTTCTCTCCCCCTCTTCCCTCTCTCTAAAAATAAATAAATAAGATCTTTAACATGAAGACAACAAATCGTGATCTGACTGGCTAAAGTATACAAAAAACATTTTCTGAATCACTATGTGCTAGGCATCATGATTAGGACTATGGTAGGAGGTAGAGTATGTTAGAACGATGCAAAAGGAAAAAACAAGACAATGTGTTTCCTGTTCGATAATTATGAGAATACATAAAAGACATTTAATACTCATAAATACAATAACTACTGTAAATTTAACTCAGTGCCGAATATTCAGAAATCTTAAGAATGGAGTCCAGTTATTGAGAAAAGCTTCTTGGAAAAAGTAAAGCATATACACTCTCCGAAGAACCAAGTAAATAATTTAACTGACCAGTCTACTGTTCTAAGTAGCCCAAAAAACTGCTTTCTTGCACTATGCTGTCTGCAACTTTTATAAATTTATGTAAATGGAATCAACATGTATTCCTTTGTGCTTCACTGCTTTTACTCACTGTAACACTTAGGTTCATCCATTCTGCTGTGTCTCACCAATATTTCATTAATATACAGTAGGTGCAAATGGGCTGAAAACAGGGCAGGCTTAAAGTCTGTATATGACATAGCAGTAGTTCTTTAGGAAAAAACAGGGTACGATTAGTTAAGATTTCTACTCAGTTGTATTTTCTTAAAACTGCATCCCATTCAACCTGAACTGTGGTGCCACCAAAATCTCTCCTAACATAGTCTTTAAAATTCTTTAGGTTATTTCTAAAAATGTCTGAGTTTTCTGATTGCTCTATTGTTTACCCCCACATCCTGATCATAATGGTACATATCTCACATGAATTCATAGAAGTTCACTTCAACAGCAGTTAACAATCTAACAAGATACCTACCCTAAAACAAAAAACCAAAAGCTGAAGAGACTACTTACTCCATGGAATAGTATACAGCAATTTTAATACAGTGTATGAAAGATGAACAGTAACTACTTTAAAACTGTATGATTAGAGCTCAATGTCTTAATTTCCTTACCTATAAATTTTTCTATAAATTATATGTAATACTTCCGTTAAAGAACAAAGTTAATTTTGAAAATATGTAGAACTTGGAGTTAAAAATGGTAGACTAAATGTATTCACCTGCATTCATTCATTCATCAAATTCCATTTAAATAACAAGAAAAGGCACTAGACTAGGACAGAGAAATAAAGGGAAAAATAAATAGAAGAATTTGATAAACAAAGATTTTGATCAAATTTTAGAAGATGGAAAGGAGACGAGCAAACTGATATGTCACAGGCTACTAGGGAAACCTAGGTGTACAGAGGGGAGAAGACAGGCTAAGTAGCAAGTTTATCTGTGTCAAAGAGCCACAGAAAGAATAAAAGAAAAAGAATAAGAATCAGTAACCTGAAGTTCGATTCCTCTGAAGCTACAAATACAAGGACTGATTAAAAGAAATATTTAGTCTGCCTAGATACCATCTCTAAAAATAGTCAAATTATCCTTCTAGCAGAAGACTAGAGGTTTTCTATTTAGGTATTTTGAACTTAAGGAACCCCTAAACTAAGGGCTATCAAGAAAAGCTGAAGAAAAGGGTACAATATTTAAAGCAGGAAAATTAAGGCAAAGTCTATACTGACTATTAAGACTCCCACCCCATTTTAATACCATATCCCTACCCAGAGCAACCAAGACTACTGCGGAATGGGGCAGGTAATGTATAGGATGAATCTGCAAAATCTTGAGCCTAAAGGTAATGAAGTGCTTTGGGGGTGGTCCACAGAGGCATGTCAAAAGGAACAGGGAATGAACTTCAAGGGATTTCCATTAGCCAAATATAGAACAATTTGATTATCAAAATATACAAGTACAGAAATGGATTATAATCCACTGAATAAATCAAGAATAATGAGTCCATTTTGATAATAAACTGGACAACAGGGGCTGTTTTTTGTGGGTTTTTTTTACAGTAGAATGCTGATAAATGTAGGAGTTTGTAGAGTAGAAAAACCACCATTTTGCCAACCATAGAAAAGATTGGGTGGAGCAGGCAACATAAATGGTTGCAAAATCAAAAGCCATCTTCCCTGGCCCCCAGACTTTTACTCAGTTGCTTCCTTTATTATTTTCTTTTTTGGATTATAATTTTTTAAAATCTTTTTTTCCATTACTATTTAGTCCCCTTATACCACCCTCCCCCCAGCAATCCCCACACTGTTGTCCATGTCCTATAGTCCTTTTTCCTTTTTGCTCAATCTCTCCACCCCTTACCACCTCCATTATTGTCATTTGTTCTCGTTCTATGAGTCTGTGTCTGTTTTGCTTGTTAAGTTTGTTCATTAGATTCCACATATGAGTGAAATTGGCCTCCTCTACTATTTTCTCTTGAAAACCTAAGATGCATCTCAACATATCTAAAACTGATCACCTGATTTGCCCTGTTCCCCAAACTTCTCCTCTCATAGGATTCCAGAGTTTTGGAAAAGGTAACTACCACTTGCTTAGACTTGAAATCATCTGACTCCTCATTTTTCAGACCCCATTACTTAAGGAACCATTGTGCTAATGGAAATCCTTCTACCTTGAAACAGAAGGAGGCAATTACTGTTTCTTTTATAATAAGAATCAAAGGGACAAAACAAGACAAAAACATATATAGGAAAAGATTAAATGTACAGTATAATATTTAGCTTCGCTATAAGATTATTGTGACAAAAAAGGAAGTAACACTACAGATAATGCTTACCATACTCAGTTCATTTAAAAAAGCACACAAAACTTACAGTTAAAAAGATGAGGAATGATTTATTGAAAAGGTGTGGGCTAGTGGGCCCAGAGGAAAGACAGGCTTTTGATAGTGGAGGAAGGGAAAGATAGTCTATTCTCAATAATGCAAAATTCAATGAGCAACGTTAGCAAAGAATATCAAGGTGCCAGTTAAGACAAGCAGCCAGGTTGGTATAGGGATGGTCATCTATTCGCCCCGTAACTACTCAATTTCTGAGACAATCAGTATACTTAAGAGTCTCCCAAAGTCTGAACCTTTTTCACTCCTTGTCAATTCAGACTGCTAGCACCAACAGCACATCGAATAGCAATTTCTCTGCCTTTATGTATGATGACTCCATTCGTTTAAATGTCAGATCGACTATCAAGGTGTTGAGAGCAAGCAGTTAAGAAAATGAGGTGGAACAAACCACTAGTAATATATACTCTTTACTTGAGCATTGCTATTTTTCTTGCTTTAGAAGAATGGTTCTTTACTTTGGCATGCATTGACATCACTTGGAGGTTTGTTAAGACAGAATGCTGGACCTCATTACCCAGAGTTCATGCTTCATTATGTCTGGGGTCGGGCCTGAGAATTTGCATTTCTAACAAGTTCACAGCTGATATTGATGCTACCTGGCCTGGAGATCACAATGTAAGGACAATATCTTCTGCCAAATCTTCCTCTTATTTAATACTTCTTTGTTTTAAAGGGGCACATTTTTCAGAAGGTTTGTAGAATGTTTGTGTGTTTTTTTTTACTTTTTATTATGGAAATTTTCAAATTCACGCAAAAATAAAAATAAGAAAATGCCACGTACTACTATTCAGCTCTGATAGCTATTAACTCATAGTCACTCTGGTTTCATCTATAAATCCCCCTAGTACACACCCTCCCAAGTGGATATATCTTTTAAATTTTTTATTTATTGATTTTAGAGAGAGGGAAAAGAGAGAAATATCAACTTGCTATTCCCCTTATTTTATTCACTGAATAAATATCAGTGAATAAATCAATATTCAAGGCTTCTTGAATGTGCCTTGATCAGGAATCAAAACCACAACCTTGGCCTATCAGGACAATACTTTAACCAACTGAGGCAGGTAGATTATTTTGAAGC